TTTTTGAAATACTTTTCCAAAAGGCTTCCAATGGAGCTTTCCTAGATGGTTTGGTGAAACAAACCATCTAGGAATGCTCCATCACATGTTTTACATCTATTACAGGGTGAATCTTAAACTGAAGCTTGACTTTAAAGCAACCCAACGGAAGTTTCATGTAAGTTTAGTTCTTTCACTNTAGACTTCTGAAAGTGGCTCCTTGTCCCAGTTACATACAAAATAACTGCTTTGTGTTTGTGACACATTCATGAACATGATGTGCCAAAAACTACTCATACTTGGAAAAAGTGATTAAGGTTGAGATGCTGTTAACAACTCCAATACAAATACATATAGATATTACTTCAAAACGTATTTGTTTGATATTGATATATTTAGGATTGGAAATAAACAATCATATAACATTAAGATCCTTAGCTCAAGCTTTGTAGTGACGGTTTAATATTTTCTCCATGCTTTTAACAGACAGAAGAAAGCAAACTATCAACAACAGTTGTAGTTTATGCTTTATATTATTGGAATAGTTTAAAGTATGGAAAATGGAATAGGGACAATGTAGAAAAAGTATTACTAATAGCGTATAACAATTATAATATTAACTTTTCTTGCTAAAAACAATAAATAATATATATAAAATATAAATGAATATAAAAGATAAAATAAGCCTTAAATATATATAAATAAATGTGTATATAAAAACATTAACAGTTGTATGAATGTTCTTCAGTCTGACTCATGTGATGAATGCAATTTCATGTTGCTTTCTCATGGGAAAACTTGTTGGGAGTCTACATTCGCAAGTTACCTCCAAACTGATTTTTGTATAAATGTAATGTAAGACCTGTTTGTTTTTCCCTCCTCAGCTGTTGTTGCTGTGAAGGACTCTGTCTTGTTGTCTCCTCTCGAACCCTCACCTGCTCCGCCAGACGCAGAGCAGCAAAGTGCTGAGAGAAGAAATTGCCTGCAGCCTCCCTGTGTTTCCATGGAAACCTCAAATCACCGACCTCACACGCCCAAAGCTGAAGATGAAGTGGAGGAAGACGATGACGCCAGCGGACCACTGACCATTTCTGAGCTTGCCTACAGGTCTATAGAATTTTTGTAACAGAGCTATAATGAAATATGAGTCTTCTCTTTCAGCTCATTGTTTTTAACTGCCTCCATAACCATCGTTTTTGGCTGAAGCAGGAAGAAATAGTTAGATGGAAGAGTTAATACAAATACCCCCTTTTAATAGATAAACAGTGAGTCACACTAGATATGTTGCATTTCAGGTACATGCTGTGTACAACATATAAACACCACAGCTATGAACAGATTGCATTCCTCAAGTTTGAACTTGAAACAAAGCACAAAAGTGGTTGGCATCTCTTCATATGTCCCGGATGTTTGGCCTGACTTGCCTGGCAATGTTTTTTGATTCTGGCATTTCTGTAGCAACATGTACAGTACAGTATATGTGTGCTTGTCTCGCTTACGATTCAAAACCTACCTTTGTTATTGCAACAAAAAAAAAAGGCCAGCTCTGAAATCACCATTTTTTAAACTTCCCTTATTCTTCTTGTTTGGCCCTGGTTCAATCCTACTTACAATAACATTGTTTTTTCTTCAAATATCTCCCCTCCCCCATGCAGCCCTTGTGCCAGCATGTTGCCCACCCCAGTGGAGGACAGTCAGGGAGGCGTGGACCTGCTCTTCTCCTCCCCGGTGCAGAGCCCCGCCCGGATGCTGAGGGAGCTCCATGCAGACCCCGACATCCAGGCCCAGCTGGAGGCAGACAGGGAGCGGGACCGGGCCTATGAGCGCACCCGTCTGGCTACCAGGAGTCGGATGGGGGGGGTCCTGACCAGCAGCCTGCGCCTACTGTCGTCCAATGAGAGAGTCAATGCTTGCATGCTGAGCGTGGCCCGCTTTGTTGCCGTTGTCATGGGCGTGCTGCTTGTCACTGTGCCCACTCTGCTGCTGCTGCTGGAGTCTGACATTGACGTGTCGTTCCTCCATGAGATCCGCCAGACGCCGGAGTTTGAGCAGTTTCACTTCGAGTACTACTGCCCGCTCCGGCGCTGGATCCTGTGCAGGATCAGCATGGCCATGGAGAACCTGTGGTCAGACTGAGGAGCTAGAGGAGCCACTGCAGGGGGAAACACATGTGCCCAAATGTCTGTCTTAACATGTCATTTAATCTTAAATTCAGTTACAACAACTGAACCAGTCTGCCAAATGGATGAAATGATTTCACTTGTTTCAGACCCATTTTTTGAGCAGGTGCAATGGATCTTTGATGAGGGCTCACACAATTCCAGTAGGTTGTCTTGTAAAAAGGCCTGATAAAGATGTACTGTCATGCCTTTTATAATACATTGTTTCCAAATTGAATAATACAGAAACAAGTAGATTTGTTTCACCCCTTTCGCAGCATAATTAAGTTTATTGAACAAAAAAGAGTAATAGAGAACTAACATTTTAATCTTGGGATCCAGTCACTTGTTAAGACACTTTTGGCAGTGATAAACAGAAAAGAAAGGACAAGAAATGCTGCAAGTTTTCAAAGACAAATGTGCAAAAGGGAGACTTTTATGAAAATAAAAATAAGGGAAGTCATGGACAGATAAACTCACAAAAAGATGCAGAGAAGCATGCAGGATACAAATGGTTGGTACTGTTTTTAAAGGTCTGTTCACTCCTGATGCTGACTAGCTGATGTAATGACTCTGGTAAATATGACAAACCATTCTGATTGGTTCTCACCCTCGGAATGGAGCACCTGATTGGTCCCCGAGCCTGTCAGTCATGACGGAGTGGACGGGGGAGAGAAATGATTGATTTGTCACTGAACGCAACAAAAGCCACAGCCAGAGGTACATTATATATATATTTAAAAACAAAAGAGTAATATTGATAATATAAAACCAATCTTAAATAAGTTGTTTTTAACATTTTGTACATTTTTATGTGATGCAGACCTTTCAGGAATTTTTCAGTCAGAGGATCTACTTTGAGCTTATTTTGAAATTAAGACTTTACAAAAGAGTAAAAAAACAAACACATTTATTAAAGTTTATCGGGGTGATGGGCGTTGAGAAATTTAAGATATTTTTTAAGAGCACTGTCAGCATTTGTTGCCTCCGTAGCTCCCTGGAGTTTTCCTACAGAGGCTATAGCACAAATCTTTTACACAGATCACAGATTAAAACTGTTTCAGATTACGTGATGTCATTTTGGAAATGGGAGGGCAACAGAGGAGAGAAACCTTCTGTTCGTCATCATGATAAAACTTGTGTTTTGTTGAACTTTTAAATGTCTTCTGAACTAAATGTTAAGTCAGTAGTAGTGCATCTCTCAGTGTGTTTTAAGTCAGTTTGAACATAAAAGTATTTAAAAAATGCTAAAGAAGGACAAGGTGACCTGTAGGCTTGTGATGAAAAGTTATGTGTGAGTAAAGGTGGGTCGAATCGAGATTTGGGGTCATTTGTTCAGTCCATGGGAGGCTACTGTTAGGACAGCTCTGCGATCGTCTCAGATTCAAAGTGATGATGGTACACTTAAGATTCCCAGAGGAAAATGTTTGTGTATTCCAAATATACTGCTCATATGTGACACATGATTGGAAAACTGATGGTGTCAATCTGGTGCAGGACTACAGTGGCAGGTATTTAATTTAAGTATTTGAATCACTAAATCAAATTAGAGATGATTTGTAGCCATTATTAAAGAAGATCTGTGAGAACATCATGCTGAGCATAATTTAAATGACCGCAACTGTTTATACCCTTAAACAGAATACATACATTTCTATCATTTTTAGATGGGGAGGATGTTTTGAACAAGATGTTTGAAGAATATGATTCTGGTTTTGAAGACGTAGATGTGTTCACATACAAGGGTGTTTCTGTGTGAAGGAATTTGGAGCAGCGCCATCAAAGATACTGAAAAGGTTTTATTTTAAAATGTCTAAAAGTAGAAACTTCAATTTTGGGAACTAAAGGCTGTACTAGTGGTTTTGTTTCAATCCGACAGTGCCTGTCAGTAACAGTGTCCTGGCTCTGCATGGAGAAGAAACAGAGAGTTACAGCGATGAGAGTTACTTCAGATCAAATGAAAAAAAAAGAAAAAAAAGTTCTGTTTGAAATGTAGTTCAATTTGAATTACATTTCTCAGGAAAGGGCATTAGCGGTTTATATTCAAAATAACAATTATATGTCTAAAAAAAGAAAGGAAAAACACATCTAATCACAGCATATAGTTTATGCCTAGCATTCATACAGTACATGTCTTGCATTATGCTATTTTGAATATATAAACACTATGTCTTTTTACCAAGTCTGTAGCTAGACATAAATACAGCTGCAGATTGTCTGTGTTATTGTAGCAACACTACACTCCATGTCATATGCATCCAAATATATTACCTGAAAAGTATTTACTGTTGAGAGCCGGTACCTGCAGTTTGACCATCATAGCTGAAGCTCTGTACTGCTTTATCTATTCATTTAAGCTGATCAAAACAGGAGTAGCAACATCTCTTTCTCAAAACTCTCTGACACTGTTTGAGGCTCTTAAAAAGCTGAACTCATACTTTTATTTTCAGAATATCTCCACAATCTCAACTGCTACAGAGGCCTCTGCAGTGCACATCACCATCAAAAGCCTCTCATTTGAACCCAAACAATATCTCTGCCTCATATGATCAGCTGTGTTGTTGTGTAGCTGTGTGAACCTTATGCATCAACAAGCTTTATGCATATAGATAATATGCAGTAACAACAGAAACAAGCTAACTTGGGACAAAGTATTTATTTTCCTATTACAGCATATTCACGGAATATCACGACTGAAACCAAGCAAAGGGCCAAACCACTATCAAGACCACATTTTGCATTTAACATTACAGGCTCTGAGTTTCACTGTAGTGGGTGAAGCTGATCTGAATGCACTGCTAAACAATACCACCATCCCATGATAACTAACAAAGTGGAATAGCATCGTGAACTATCACCCCGTCTTCATATTTAACTGTTGCTCATCCGCTATGCACATGCACCAAAATGCTTGAGATATTCCCAGTATACTTTAAATAGAAGTTCTTCTGTATAGGCTTCATGTGTATAAACATGGCGTTCTGGCTTTGGTCCTTTATTTCTGTGCTTCATCATCACACAGCTTACCCAGGGTATCTCACTCTGACCTCTCAATGTAAACGGCATGCCTTCATCTGTAAATACTGTGTTTATAGTTGTGGCAAAAGATAATCCTCTCTTTCTTCCCTCTGCGTGTCGTGGCCATATAAAGCGTTCTAGATTTAGGCTTGGCTGTCTTGACCATCGTAGACAAATGCATGTTCTCCCTGTTTTACTAAAAGGAGGTCATTTAAAAAATGTTGTGACCTCATTTAAAAAACCAAAACACGTCATGCAGTGTGGTTTTTCTTCATTTCAACAATTGAATTGACAAGACTGAATATATGTGGTTGCTTATTCTGTTAGCTTCCTCTCAGATAATCAACCCAAAAAAATGTGTCTCAGCACAAAAATGCTGTTTGCTTGGAAAACATTTTTTACCATCTCTTAAAGAGCAGATTTAAAATATTTGACTAGTTCGTTAATTGTGCTTTTGCTGTGTGCGTAAATCATTTTAGTCAGAAGCTAAATGCTAACACCTGCACCTCATTGCTAACGGAGCATGCTATTAACTGAATCAATTGAATTCATTTGAAATCATTACTTGTAAAGATGTTCACTTTCAACCTAAACTCATTGCAAACAACAAAAGTTCTTTCTGTGATAAAAACAGATCTTTGGCCCCACATGACACCGTAGCATTTGATTAGTTTGTAGCTCATTTTTTCAGTTTAATGAGTTTAAAGGGGAATTGTACTCCTTTGAGATTCAGCTCTTGTTTTGAGCTACTTGAGTTTCTGTGTTTTACAGCATATAGACGGACCGAGCGTACAACTTCTGTTGCCCGTGCTTACATAAAACTGTGATTAAAACATCACTAAGTTCACACACCAGTTGATTTCATATCTGAGGTATGAGTGCTGAGTTCCTGACATGAGTCAAGTATTTACAAACCTTAAATGTAATAACCTGCCTTTAATTACCAGTGGAAATTAAACTAAATGCTTTACAGACTACACTCACAATTCAACGCTGTTCGAACCCAATACACACATTCTGCTTTTGATGAATTTATTTAAGATTTTAAATATTTGAACTCAGGTCTACTATATGCAAAACTATTGGACATCACGTGGTACAAGATAAAAATAAGCTGTTTATTATGTTATTTCAGTGTTGTGTGGGCATGTACAGTAGCAGATTCTCTTGCACGGTCACTTTGTTGTTTTTGGACGTTAGTCAAATGATTTTTTGTTCTAACGGTCAGTCAGATCATTTATTATTATTTTTTTGTCATTAAGTCTCTTTTAATAAGAAACTCTGGGAGATTTAATTTGAGAAGAATAAGAAAAAAAACCCTAAGTAATGGCTCCCTCTCTTCTGGGACAACCAAGCCTTATGAACTTTGTGAAGTGAACATTTTGAATGTTTGTATGTTATAAACAGAAAACATGAATTGTTTTATATGTTAATACTGCCACAATAAAGCTCCCTAATGAATATATATTGAAATAAGGCGCCTAATGTGTGGATCATTTTACACGACCGTTAGCTTGATAAAAAAACTTAACATTTTGAAATATCTTACTGTTTTACTTCTCCATTAAATGTAAGTTTATGAAATGTAACTAGCAAATTCACCAACAAGTCATATGAACGGCTACATTTAATCCCAGATTTGCTTCTGTTTCATTTAAGGGACCTTTGTTTGAAATTCTTTTCACACTTAATCGGATACAGCAGCAAGTCATAAGATAAAGGGGATTTTTAGTAGAGCTAGAGAACGAGTTCTGTGTGTGTACTTGTACTAATCATTTTTCTTAGTAAAACTTGTGCTCATTATGCTTATCTTAAGGTTAAGACTTTCTATTTTTGGAGCATGTCACAAAAAGAGTTAAGTTTTATATTAAAGAGTTTGTCACAAGTGTCAAAGATAAAAGATCGATGGAGGAGTCAGAAAGGTCTTATGAAAGTATTTTTAAATAACATCTAATAGTTTATTTCAATTTCGAGCCTTGAAAACATAACTCTTAACGCAACTAAATATTAACAGAATATTAATATTATCTCTTTGTTTACCCTTACAGGTGCAGGGAATTGTAAACACACTGAAAAATACAGCGTAATAAATCTTAATTCTTGCCCTTTTCGTCATATAATATTGTTAATCTACATGCATTATGATCACATTGATCAAATGCATGAAAATCCAATTGCATTGAAGTTTTTGTAGCAGAGAAGGCTTTGATTTTCAATATATTTTTGTTTTAGTCATAATGTGTTGTTATACTCCTGTAAGCCAACAGGTGTCCGCTGGTTGTTTCTGCCTGATGAAGTGTGAGGTCTGATGAAGTGTGACTAAACATCTTCTCTGCTGCCTCACAGATATCTGTTCACAGAGCTGCAGGTCACCAATCACACACTCTGTGAGTCCGCCTGCTGCACACAAATCAGAAAGAGATTTGAAAAATGGTTTATGAGCATCAGCCAATACTTAAGACACGATTAAAAAAAAGTCACAGCAATAATAAGGGGGTATAGAAAGTAGCTTTTAGCTGTTGAACAGTAAGGACACAGGTACGTGGGATGTCCTGAACATTTCCAAGTACGATTTCTGTGTGTGTCACAGCACATGGTGTGTTCTCATGGTGTAAATACTTCCATTGCGTCGGTGTACTGTACCACTCCCTGGACAAACATACAGTAAGATAACCCAGAGCTGCACCGTCACATGCTCTCTAAACACTGTAGGTCAGAGGCAAAGTTTTGAATCACCAAAACAAGTTTACACAAACAGGAAACTTTTCTCTCATCAGGGAAGAATCTGAGGATTGAAAACTCAGACCTGACCGAGCTGTGTGTTGACATCGTCCTCGCAGTCTGTGTCTGTAAATCTGAAGCAGCCTGTCCCTCACCGCCTGTGAGCTGGAGACGTTTTTCACTTTGTGTAGAAACTTTCTAGAGATTTCAGTTTTATGGGGTTACTTTATTAATTACTCAGAGTTTAAGATACACTGTAATGTGTTGACATTTGGTGGAGGTTTGGGGATTTTTGTCCCCACATGACTTTACAGTGTTGTGGTCAGAATGGATGATGTCCTCCTAAATAATAAGCCATTGCTATGCTTGTGTTTAATAACTAGGTCAGGTAAATACAAATTGACACCTTGTACCTTGTTCATGATTTTGAAGCCCAAGCAGACCCTTCCTCTTTGTAATCATTTTAAAGACTGACTACATGTGTTTCTTTAGGTTAAAGGTGCTGCATCTCTCAAAGATTACCCTCTGCCCTGACTCACATACAAACATCTGCACACAACTGGACGGACAGACACAGCACATGCAAGTAGTCAATTGATGAACTATCCACATATATAGACAAACATGCCATACAGGTAAGAAAATCCAAAAATGAAATATGGTATTTACTTATTGACCAGTATTTTGAAAAGAAAAACTATCCTGCATATCCTGGCCACAATATTATGTTCCTCTTTTTGCCTCGCCTGGAGGGTTTCCTGCACTTTGATGCCAGTCATGGTTTTAGCATTTGTAACACTGTTTTTTAGTCTTCCAAAAAAAGTGGTTACTTCAGGAGTATCCACGTGTCAAAAACAGAAAAAGATAGAGGAGGTTGGACTATATAAAAGTGGCGGAAGGATTATTTGGACTAATCAGTCCAAATAATCTTCAGTCTTTCAGCAATGGAGTTTGTTCAAATAGAGCATCATGTTGTACTTTCTTCCACCTAGCAGCTGCCTTGTATTTTGAATCCAAATATTTGACAGTTGGTACTGTTACTAATTTTCTAACCAAGGATATTGAAGACAAACTATGGCATCACCAAGGGCCATGAATGAGGAAGAACAAAAGCGCCTGAGTTCACTTTTTCATGCCTACAATGTGGATAACTCAGGGTGGTTAGACAAAAATGAGTTCACCACTATCTGTCAGGAGCTCCATGTCCCTTCACAAGAAGCAGACGGGATATTCAACTGCCTGGATGTGGACAAAGACGGCACAGTCACCTTAGAGGAGTTCATCAGTGGCTTCAAAGAACAACATCAGGAGGATGAGGATGAGGACACAGAAGCAGATGACAACAAGTCCTCAGGAGGTGAGGAAGAGTTTTCAAACAACCCGGAACAGGTGATATCCAGGTGAGATATCTGAGCCATGTCTTTGTTTAAAAAAAAATGCATGTGAATAAAGAAAATGTACTGCAGTGCAAGGAATGATTGATCACAGATAATACGACATAACATGAAGGTTGGGGGTTTTTCTTTGTACGTGGATTTTTGAAGCAGGAGTGCCAAATTTGTATTTCTCCTATCTATATATAATACATATATACATATATATAATATATGTATATGTCATGTTTTGCAAGATATTACATGATTACATGAACACAATTTACACTGAGCAAAAATATAAACGCAACACTTTTGTTTTTGCTCCCATTTTTCATGAGATGAACTCAAAGATCTAAAACATTTTTTACATACACAAAATAACCATTTCTCTCAAATATTGTTCACAAATCGGAAAAGATCTGTGATAGTGAGCACTTCTCCTTTGCCGAGATAATCCATCCCACCTCACAGGTGTGGTATATCAAGATGCAGATTAGACAGCATGATTATTGCACAATAAAAGGCCACTCTGAAACGTGCAATTTTGCTTTATTGGGGGGGTCTGGAAAACCAGTCAGTTTAACCCTAACCCTAACCCTGACATGTCACC